TGAATAAGTATTTTACAAAAATATAATGCCATTAAAGAAATACATGTATTTTAGTTTCTCCCATTCTAGTATAAATAATATCCTAACTTAAAAATGCAAACAGATATGCAAATAGAGTGAGTGTCTTAGGAGCCCAGTGGCCAATTTTTAAATTAACACATTTAAAACATTTGAAAGAATATTCTATCTTGAAACAGAGGGTTCCAACATTTAAAATGAATTCCTTAAGAAATGGTAAAATCCTTCGGGCTTCACACTTTATTTTTCAGAAGGTTAGGAGCAAAGTTATCGCAGCTGCTCCAGTTTACCTTGTCAACACCCCTCTTCTCCACAGAGAAGCATCCTTAATCTGCCAGCCATCCTTCCCGAGGGAGTTCAAGTACCCGCTGGAAGCAGACACATTCAGACATGTGGCAGTCAGTATCTGTAAGCTTCTCTTAATTAGTTTAGCTCGCTTCCTTCGTGTATAATGAGACTGGATGCTTTTTTTGTGGGTTGTCTAGGAAGAAACAGCAAAACTTTGAAGTAATAGAGTAGGAGAGGAAGTTTCGGATCAGGGATAGAAGGGGTATAATCGTATCCCTCAGTTCCTCTTTATTGATCTTCATTTCTATCTGGTGTAAAAATCAGCACAGAAAAATTAGAGCCCCAGAAATGTGTGGAGGAGCACAGCACTGAAAAGCACCCTATGCATCAGCTCAAAGAAACAAGAGCTGAATCAGCAGGTGGTTATTGCTTCCCGGACACACTTCACATCCACCTACACAAGTGGCACAGTTTGCACAGCAGATGATGCATCTGTCAGGGATCATTAACTGTTCAGCTGCCAAATATTTTGAGTAATGTTACCACTTCTCCAACAGAGAAATTGGGAGCTGAAAAGAGAATACTGTAACGAAAAGCAGTCAGTGTGCCTTGGCACACCTCAAAACTTTCCGTAGTCCTAAACTTACTTGTAAAGATGTATCCTCAAGAGCGTTAAACTCTTGTGGCATACTTTGTGCCCTTAATGCAGTATTAGCAACCTTTTGCTCTTTCCTGCTAATTCATTGTAGAAACAGGAATAGCAAAGGCTCTTGACTATGCAATAGTCACTTAGTAGCTAATTAGATTAAAACAGAACAATTGAAATATAAGGAGTAGAAGTTATCTATGAAACTTTCTGTCTTAGAGAAAAGTCTCAAAGAATTAAATAGAAAAAGGTAAAGCAAATTACATCTACAGCAGGACATTTTAGGTATTATTGAAATATAACCAATTTATATGGAACTTTAAATAATTTTCTTAGAGTATCCCTGTTTTAATTTCTACATCTTTAAGATTAAAAGGCACTATGCAAATATATACAATACCAAGTCAAGAACAGAAGCAGCACTTAGAAGACAAAACAGTCATAAATTAAATCCAAGGCAACATTTTTTCCATACTTTCTGAAAGAAGAGAAACAAACAATGGCAATCAACTAGAAAAAGTGATTTGAATAACTTCCTTTCAGAACTATGCACAGGTAATTTTGTCAGTTAAGATCTGTTTAGTTACCTTTATTACACAGGGAAAACATTAAAAATCATTACATTCATAAACACAATTGGAAAAGTTGTAATTGTGATTGCCTGAGTAGCCTCTCTGTGATCATTTGTGCATAGCTTTTTTATTAAATGATTCCTGCATGTTATTTTTCTGCCCCACATAAATTTTAAAAGTTAAGCTACTAATGTCAATCTTTTCTGAGCATAACTGTTTTTCAAAAGCATCTCACATAGCCCAAGCTGTACAGTTTTTTTGGAAGCGTGACAGCATCTGTATCTGGTACAATAGCTACTCCTTTGCCAATCTACCCAGTCCTCTCCCTATCTAGCAACTGAAGAGCTATCAGCAGACCAAATTGCAGGATTTAAAAAAAAATGAAAATAAAAATAAAAATAAAAATAGCTGGTTTTCTGAAAACAGCCTACGGAGTCCGATTCAAACTTTACATAGTTAAATTAAGCTGAGAAATACTCAGTATGCAAACAGTTTAGCTCCGACGCTTTACTGAGCACGCACAGGTGACTGAGAAATGTCAAGGCTCGAG